CAATCCCTTCTCCTCCATTCTCCTCTCGGGATCTTGGGCACGCACGCACACGCGCCCGGCGTGAGTTTTAAGCCACCGGGTCCGGGACACGAACCGCGGTCGACTACGTGGGAGTCCAGCGACATAGCCATTAGGCTAACTGCTGGTTCCCCTCTCATTTTTAAGCATGTATAGTGATTCAGAGCCATAGTCTAGGGGGACCTATTTAAATCTCAGGAATAGCTGCAGTTCATGTGAAGTTCCTAAGTCAGGGGTAAAAGGTTGGTAATTTCAGCTCTTGGCAGGATGGGTCCTTAAACATTGGAACGGAGTTTCCAGGGTATTTCTCGCATCTCTTTTTCTGCCTGGCTTTAACACGGCCAGAGTTGCTTTTTGGAGGATAGACAGAATGAGACCTAAGGTCCCTTTAAATACTGGCTTTCCAAAATTTCATCTCAGCATCTCACATTACTTCTCTTGCTTTTGCTTCTTCCTTCCCCTGTATATGACCTCTGTGATGTGATAAACCAGTAATCAGTAGATCTGGTCTCCTCCAAGCCCATGGGTGATGCATCATCACCTGACAGCGTAATGGGTTCCATAATCACACACACCAGTGAGAGCACATGGCTCCTTCGTGGGCAGTGGATGTGCACCTGAGCATTTTCCCCTTTCATCAGAGACACTTTACTACATTGAGGCCCAAGATCTGAGCTGGGGATTCAGGGACAGCTATCACTCTGCCTTTTTGTAACACCATTCAGATACTTGAGTCATTGCAGGTGACAGCATTGACAAGAACAGTTGCTAAGAAACTCCTTAGAGACAGAGTTACTGTGGCTTGTTCAGGGTCTAAAGACAGCCCAAAGAGAGGTGGTTGCTCCTGGTCCAGGAAAGCGGCTCTGGCTTGGAGAGTATTTGATGGGCTGTCACTGGTCATGCAGTGGCCACTGATTTGCCTCTCTTCCCCACTGCAGGAAACGAAGCAGGAAGAGGAAGAGAGACTCGTTCTGGAGAGCAACCCATTAGAATGGACGGTCACTGATGTGGTGAGGTTCATTAAACTGACAGACTGCGCCCCCTTGGCCAAGATATTCCAGGAGCAGGTATAGTGGCTTGCTGTGTGTTTGAGTTTTGTGTTATGAAACTGGATCTTAAATGAATCTCCCATCTTGGCTGGCTACCTTGTGGCTGTCAAGTTCCTGTCTGCCTGGGACTCCTCAGTGTTGCTGGGCAGATGTGGACCCAGCTCCCTATATACCTTGCAAGAACCTCCAGACAGGAGAGAGTGGAAGAGCCTCATGCCTGCTCCTTTCTGGCACCCAGTGGCACCACAGGGACTGGAGACAAGTGTCTATAGATGAGGGGTAGAAGTCCAGATGCCCTACTTGGCCTTTGAAGATGCCACCTTGTTGTGGGATTGGTGTGATGGGTACCACCTGACTAGGTGGAAGCCAGAGCTGCTTGATCAGCCTCAACTGACATTAGGGGCTGGACATACACTTTCCCTGTAGTATTTGGCAACAGTAGAGCCATCAGTTTCTGAAAT